GTATACAAATTTACAAACCCCCTTAGAGCAAACATTCTCAATCAGTTTTCTACATACTCAAGTTCTCGTTGTTCAAATAATTGTGTGATTATATCTGTTTAACGACATGCACATACTCAAATTCTTTATCCTAATAGTTGTTTGATTATCAATTTGATTATCAATTAACAACGTTCACACAACTTAGCCCACACAAGTTCATAGTTTTTTCGTTCATGTACAACAGATCTCGAGTAAATTGTTATCAATGGCATCAACATAGCGGTTCTTGCGCCGCGCCATTGTTAAGCCTACATATTTTAATTATAATTTTATTAATTTATTGAATTTTTTAAATAATTAGTTATTATATTTATAATTAATTATTAATTTATTAAATAATAAATATTAATTTTTTAATTAATGATTAATTATTCTTAATAATTAAATTAAAATAAAGATTTAATAATAATTTTAATAAGTTAACGATTTAAATAATTCAATGATTATTTATTTTCGTTAAAAATAAGAGATTATAAATTTAAATCATATAGCATGTTAGTAAGGTGAGACAAAAAATAAGAGATAATTGCTTTTTATTGTACAATTAAGATAAAAAAAAAAACAATAACCTTAATAAATTTAAAGGTGGTTAGTAAAAAAATTTTATTTTACCATCTAAATTACATTAAATTTGAAAATAAAAATTATATTGAATGAGATGAGAGACTCTAATATAAAAAATAAAATAAAATTATTTCTATTCAATAATTAAAATTAAATCATTTATAACAATTTATACTATGAAACATTTGTTTCAGTGGTAAAGATCATTACTTTCATTACCGATGACATAAAATTATAAAAAGTCATACGTGCAATAGTACGTTGATTGGATTAGTCAGGGAATTAGTTAGCTAAGCAAAAACAACCATATAATTATGTGTAATTACTTGTTTTATTAGAACATGTTAACGTCTATGACTCGAACTTTGAATTGAATTGAATTAATTGCTTGTGTTTGTCTCCACATCCATCCCCTCATCCTTCGATCTAAAAAAATGCAATCATTCCGCACGATATGTGTCTCTGTCCTCCTTATTTAACTGTTATTTGCATGTGATGCTGTTCTCCGAAGCGACAACAATTCATACCCATCGTCCATATCCTTGATTTTTGTACATATCTATATCATTGCTCTAGATATAGCTTTACTGAATTGTTACTATTAATTTAAAAATTTTAGTTTGGGTAAAAGGTTAAATGCTTAAAAAATTTATGACATCAAACAGTATTTTATGTAAAAAAAATATTATCATTGCTCTGTTCTTTTGTTCTGATTTTTTTTGAAGAATGTACCCGATTACGTCGTCTTCTTCAGCCTGATTTCTTAGCTTCTGGTTGAGTTTTCATCGGAAGAAGATTTTTCTTGGGGATGGCTAAATCTAGAAACTTTTGCTGGGTTTAATGCGATCTGAAGGGGTAAGTTTAGTTCTAGCCCCTGTTGTGTCTTTTGGCAATTTGGGTGTCTGTTTGGTTGGCGAGAAAATGATGAGATTCGGAAAGAGATTCTGTAACGCTTTCACGTTTGAGTGTTTTAAATGAGAATTTTGTTTTTTTGGCGTTTTAATACGAAGTCGGGTAAGTTTTAGTTCTTTCTCCTGTTCTGTTTTTATGCAATTTGGGTGTCTGTTTGGTTCGCAAGAGAAATGATGGGATTCGGAAAGAGTTCTGTAATGCCATCACGTGTGAGTGTTTTAAATGTGAATTTGGTTTTTGAGGTTTTAATCTGAAGTCGAGTAATTTTGCCATTTTGTCTCGCTCACAGCACTTTTTCCGTTCTGTTATTGAGAATTTGCAATTTCTTTTTGGTTGGCGAGAAAAAGATGGGATTGGAAAAGAAACTTCCAAATGTTGTCGTGTAAATTGTTTTGAATCTGGTTTTTGTTTTCCTGTTTTGATCTGAAGTCGAGTAAGTAGAATTCTGTTTCACTCAAGGCTCTCCCCTGCTCTGTGGTGTGTTATTCCAATTTGGGTGTCTGTTTGGCTGGTGAGAAAATGATGGAAAAAATTATTCCCATTGAAGTTAGGCTTTAGATTTTCCCTTTTTTTCACGTTTCACAAATTTTTTTTCACAGTAACCAAACAGCGAAGGTGAAAATGGAAAGTCAACAAATGGAACCTAACTTATACCAAACTTGCTTATTTTGACCAAGAAATCCGGAATCTAGTTCATTGAAGTCAATCTGTTTGTAGAAATTCCTAAAACACATGTGTCCTAGATTCCGTTGATTACAGCTCACAAATTTCTAATCTGATGTACTGCAGATGGAGTCAGATTTAAGGAGATGAAATTCATTCATTGACTTCAAAATTTCTGCATAGTCTGGATTCTGTTTTTTCGGTTGCTGAGAAAATGGGCAGGAAATTGAACCTGTTCTTGATTTTGTTCATGGGGGCAGTTTTCTCTTCCATTACTGCTGACCCAGTTGAAGATAAGGAAGCATTACTGGATTTCCTTCATAAAGTTCATCAATCTCGATCGAGACCGATTAATTGGAAGAAGAATACCACTGTGTGTGGTCAATGGATCGGAGTGACCTGCAGCAGTGACCAATCTAGAGTTGTGGCTCTCCGGCTGCAAGGGATGGAACTCCAGGGCTCTATTCCAGCCAACACTCTCAGCCGGCTCTCATCTCTTCAGTTTCTGAGTCTTAGATCCAACGCTTTTTCAGGTTCGATTCCTCTTGATTTTGTAAAAACTCAAAAAACTTGACTGCTCTTTATCTTCAATTCAATAAATTTTCAGGTAGTTTGCCGGATTTCTCAGCTTGGAATAATCTTACCATTGTTGATCTCTCCAACAATGACTTCAATGGAAGCATCCCTCCTTCAGTTTCAAACTTGACTCACCTTGTAGCTTTGAATCTTTCCAACAATTCACTTTCTGGCGGCATTCCTGATCTGAACATCCCTAGTCTTCAACAGCTGGATTTATCCAACAATAATCTCACTGGGGTTGTACCAATGTCTCTTCGAAGATTCCCAATTTCTTCATTTTCAGATAACAAAATTTCCCCGGAAATTGCCCCTCCTCCGGCCTTGCCTAGCCAGCCACCTGGAGAACAACCAGCAAGGAAAGCCAGAAAGCTCAGTGAGCAAGCCCTGCTGGGGATTGTCCTAGGAGGCAGCGTACTTGGGTTTTTGTTGGTCGCTCTTTTGATGATCCTGTGTTACTATAAGAAAGAAACGGAACAAGAAGGAGAAATGACCATAAAGTTTCAAAAGAAAGATGTCTCTGCCAAGAAAAAGGCTTCTGAGAGTCATGATGAGAACAACAGGCTTGTATTCTTTGAGGATTGCAATCTTGCATTCGACCTGGAAGACTTGTTGAGAGCATCCGCAGAGGTGCTTGGGAAGGGAACATTTGGAGTAACATACAAGGCAGCATTGGAGGATGCAATCACAGTTGCAGTGAAGAGGTTGAAAGAGGTGACCGTGCCTAAACGGGAGTTCGAGCAGCAGATGGAAGTGGTGGGGAGTATCAGGCATGAGAATGTGTCTGCTCTGAGGGCATACTTTTATTCAAAGGATGAGAAGCTTGTTGTTCATGATTTCTATGAACAGGGAAGTGTGTCTGCAATGCTACATGGTATGTTCCTAGTACTCTTATTTAACTCAATCACAGTTTCTTAGGACAAGAATTCATTTCTGTTTATCTCTGTGCAGCTAAAAGAGAAGGAAGAGGGACTTTAGACTGGGAAACTAGGCTAAAAATAGCAGTTGGTGCAGCTAGAGGCATTGCTCATATCCACACACAAAATGGTGGGAAGCTTGTTCATGGAAACATAAAAGCTACCAACATTTTACTCACTTCTCGAGGGTTTGGCTGTGTATCAGATATTGGGTTAGCGACATTGATGAGTACAATGCCTCCACCAACAATTCGTGCTGCAGGTTATCGTGCCCCGGAAGTAACGGACTCCCGGAAAGCAACTCAAGCATCTGATGTATACAGTTTTGGGGTACTAGTACTGGAGCTCCTCACTGGGAAGTCGCCAACACTTGCCACGGGTGGGGATGAGGTTGTTCACTTGGTGAGATGGGTGAACTCAGTGGTTAGGGAAGAGTGGACTGCAGAAGTGTTTGATGTGGAACTTTTGAAGTTTCCCAACATCGAGGAGGAAATGGTGGAGATGTTGCAGGTAGGGATGCGTTGTGTGGCAAAGATGCCAGACCAGAGACCGAAGATGCAGGAGGTAGTCAGGATGCTGGAAGAGATTCGAGGAGGTTGGTCGCCAGAAACTAAATCTGAAATTTCAGGTTCAACCCCAGTTCAGCGGACACCTGAAATAGGATCATCTTCTTCTGTTCCAGTTCCTTTGTGAAATTTTCATAAAATTCTCATCATTTTGGCATTTGTAGATGGTTTTGTTTGACTTGGTTCGATTGTCTAAGTTTTCCGTTGTGTGCATTTGGAATTTTATGGTATTTTTTATTTTGTTGATTCAGGGAATTTTATGGCACCGATCATATATATTATTGAGATAAAAAAAATTTATTTTATAATTTGAATTATATTAAGTTACAAAACATTAAACACTTAAATGAGGAAAAGTCCTCCGATGTTATTGGTTGGTGCAATTTTTCAAGTGTTTTAATTTTTTTATATTATTTATATTTTATAAGTTAAAATTTTCTTTTTAAAAATTTACATTTTAAAATATTTTTAACACTAAAAAAATCCTAAACAATAAAAAAACAAAAGTTTTAAATTTAAAGTTTTCATAAATTTCATTTTTACTTACTTTTTCTTATATTTAAAAGTAACTTTTAAATTTTCTCTCCAATAAAAATTTAAACTTATCACTTATAAACAGTTAAAAAAAAAACAAAAATTCCAACAAACTACACCAAACAAGCCCTGATACCCTCCTATCCAGGGGTCCTCGTTTTAGAGTTTAATACAATTCAAATAGTAAAACAATGAAATTAGAATAATTTCTTTATCTACTTTACTCTTGATCTTGCAGAACAGCAAAGCCAAAGTACTGGGCAAATTCAACCCATCCCACTACAAGTCCATTCAATTGAAAGGTAGGACAAAATTCAGAACGATATGCAAGCAGAATCATATGCTAAGAAAAATCTGTTAAAATTGAAAATTTTACACTGCATTTTCCAATGAAAGAATTACGAACCTTATATGCAACTAGTAAACAGTAAGGCTACATGTCTCAAGATTTGAAGCTGACAACATCTCACAAGCAACGCCACGACCAAAGACTCATTGACCTTTACATTTTCAAGATTACCGATTCACACAAATCTACAAATAATGTATTCATTGTCTATGTTGCGACTCACATTTTAGTTATTCATCATCTTCTGTAATAGGAGCTTCCTTTCTCGAAAACCTTGTTCTAATGCCCCCTGAAATTCAAAAAAAGAAACAAGATTTATAAACTCACAAAACCTGCTAAACCAGCATCATCAATCATGAAAGTGCTTAATATTTGGAAAGGAAATAACATTGATGCAATAGTTACTATGGTGTAAGTACGTCACAGACCTTCAACTTCCTCAAATTGAACCTCCTTAACCAGTTCAGCAGAAGCTCGATATTCAAACCTGACAAACATGTTAATAAATAAGATCATTAGATGCAACTATATCCATAGAAACAAGAACTTTCTAAAATGCTTCAAAGCCAAGCATATGTTTTCCTCCAAATGAATAAACAATGAACCATGTGATCTTTTCTACAAGTCTCGGAGACCAAGGAACTAAAAATAGGACAGGCTGTTTATATTTTCCCTATGTGATTTAGAAACAAAATATAAGCATCTTTCCTCGTTTCAGCTTCTGTGAAATAGGCTTATCTCTGTTAAGAGTGTTGCCCAATGATAATATGGTGACATTTTGATAAGGAAAATAATAGAGTTTCAGACCACTGTGCCTACTCATTAATGATCCACATGAGGAACTTTAACAGGAAAATGCACTGGGTGACAAAGGATTACAATTTAAGAACTTAATCAAAGCAATGTACAGGAAATTTGCACTTATGTGTGAAATATGGATCCCATTGAATTATGAAAAAAGAAAAAGCCAAACAATAATATACAAAGGACAATGGCGATAGACAGACATCCCTCACCTATTTGAAAAGGTCACATCAAGCTGGTAATCAGATGTGCTCTTTGTAGCTTCAACTAAGATGGTAACAATTTCAGTCTTTCGAGTACTAGCTATGAGTAGATCATACTCTGTAGGGATGATAATTGCAAAGAAGTTATCACTTAATTCGCTTAAGCACATACTATCTACAGCTGCAAGGGCTATCCTCCGTTTAAGCGCATCAGTCTCAGGATCAACAATGTAAATGGCAAATTCAGTGATCATAACAATACGTCTTTTCATCTTCCCTGAATTAGTGAACTTCAAAACTTTATCAGCAAAGAGAACTTTCTTGTCACCTA